TTCTACCTGTTTTTCCATTGGCAGGTATGAAAATGGATCTATACCTCTGCAGTAACTCGGTTAACTTCTTCTTCTGTCGGTTGTTGAGTGAGTCGCTTGCAGCAGAGACGAGTTCTTCATACTTGCCGGCCCCATCAGTGGTTTCTGTCACCTGGTGGATTATGGAGGCTGCCGGGACACATGTTCCAATCTTCGTTCCTTTGCCAATCGTCACAGGGTAATTATTTATTTTGATAAATCGAACAGGTACATAGGCGTCTGCTGACAGTAAAGCCTTGCCGACTGAAATTCTACGTCCGACTTCTTCGTCATGGTTCCTGGGTTCCATGATGATGGGACTGCCATGCTCCAATGTACCCTTAATCCGCGCTGCTACAACGGTCTCGCTCCGTTTCGGTAACAGGACGTCCTCTTCTAACGTTACTCCTGCTGCTACCTCCACCCGTGGATGTAAGAAGATCTCTTCGGCACCCACCTTGAGTGTTCTGCTTCTGAAGTACAGTTGAATCCCGTGTGCACCCATGATGTCCATTCCCAGAATAACATCTTCTTCAATATCTGCCATGATAGCTCGATGTGGAAATTTGACGGTCCCGATCGATATATCCACATCGATTTCCCCATAAACGGTGGCAGCTTCACCCGTAGCAGTTCTCAGACGCCATCTTAAGTTCACAAGTTGCTTTCTTGAAGACGTCAGAAGTCCACGTCGCAGGATCGTCTTCGATGCACCAGTATCCACCAACAATGCGCATTTCTTTCCGTCGATCTGTCCATCCACGTAGACGCTGCTGTTATCACGCCGTAGGGAGGCCACAAAGATGAGAGGGTCTTGAGAATGACGGGTCGAAGCTGCCCCCTCGAAGTCGACCCGTTCTAGTTTTCCTGCGGCTGCGTGGAAGATGATCCTTTCTCAGCAGCCTGTTTCGCACGTTTACAAGCTCTCTGGAGGTGGCCCAACTCCCCGCAATTCCAACAACGCACCGGTCTTCTCTTCTTATCCCAGAGGCCCTGGATGGCGTTGATTAAGGCTTCAGTGGGATCTTGCCTGGTATTTTCCGCTATGTTTCCGCTGTCGTTTATTGCTCGGACTCTCGCTGATCCTCAGGAAGCTTCTGCTGCGGCCTCGATCTCAAGGGCAGCTGCCAGAGCACTGGTGAGGTCTTTTGGTCGAGTGAGGCGAACCGCTTTCTGCATTTCGATATCCCGCAATCCATCTACGAACGTTTGGACAGCTAGACATTTCATAAGGGATTCTGGGGCTGACGGGTAGGCACAGTGGACCAATCGGGCTACATCAACTTCGAATTCTTGAAGACTCTCGTTGGCTCTCTGTCGACGACTCTTCATTTGTGATTGAAACACTTGCTGCAGGTGTTCATGGCCATATCGCATGTCTAGACGTTTGACGAGATGTTCGTAGCTATCGACTTCACCTTCCGGAATGGCTTGCAAGATGTTCAATGCATCACCCCGAAGAGCTACTGTTAGAGCCACAACCTTGTCCTTGGATGTCCACCCATTGGCTTTGGAAGCTGCTTCGAACTGCTTCAGATAGTTTGGCCACGATGTTTTCCCATCAAATGTAGGTGGTTTCACTCGATTAGTAGTAGTCACTGCATCTGGCCCCACTGTGGTTTCAACCATGGGTCGTTGACCATTTCCAGACTTCTCCAGCAAAGATCTTCTTTCTATTTCGAGCTGCAGCTTCTTCTCCATTTCTTCTATCTGAGTAGTGAATTGGGTTGAAACCTGAGCAATGATCCTATCCTGCTGAGACGCGATCTGTTCTTGCTGAGCAGCGATCTGAGTCAGAACCTCTTCCCGATGTGTTGATATCTGGGTCAATACTTTTTCTCGTTGGGCAGATATCTGAGAGGCAATCTTTTCAGAAAACTGAGGTAGTACCTCTTTCTGAGCTGATATATCTTCCCGTTGAGCCGATATCTGATCCAATACCTCTTGCCGTTGAGCTGAGATCTGCGATGCGATCTGATTTTGATGAGCAGACATTTGTGCCAGAACTTCTTCTCGCTGAGTTGCCATCTGGTCAGCAATATCCTGTCGCTGAGCCGCAATCTGGTCCGTGATCTTCTCCTGCTGAGCCATCATCTGGTCCGTGATCCTTTCCTGCTGAGCTATCATCTGGTCCGCTATGTCCTGTCGCTGAGCCGCTATGTCCTGTCGCTGAGCTGCTATCTGTTCCGAGAACCCAGCCAACATCGATTCCGCTGAAGCTGGTTCCTCGAAGGTGAACGTCTCTGGATCTTGACCTACGCTCACCATATACTCTATGAGACGATGCTGAAGTGTAGCCTTGATCCCTGTTGTGTCGAGATCTCTCTCCTCCAACTCGCGTTTCAAGTCCACCACTCTCAACTCGTGTAGTTTCTTCATCACAACGGTCTGTTCACTTCAAACTGGAATATCCCACACTTCTGACACCAATTGTTACGTTATTCGTGTGCAGAAGCGAACACGACACTATTTATTTTCGAACTGATTTATTCAAACTAAAGAAACACTAAATTATATCGAACTTATAACTACTATTTATGTAAAACGATTTATAACACGCGGTATATAACTGTCTCTCTGACACTCGCTGTTTGACTGACTGACTCAGTTGTTCGGCCGTTTAATATATGAGAACACAGGCAGGCTTTGGTTCGAGGAACTTCTCGAAATGATCTTCCGTCTCCTTCTTTTTGTTCTAGAAGCTTCTTAGAACAAACCTCTCTCTCTAATTGTTCCATCGATTGTTCCCAGAACATTCCAGAATCTTCTGTGACGTTCTTTGTCACTGCGGCATATATTGAGTGTTCGGAAATATGTTGGTGTATGTAGGAATCATTGAGAGGTTGGAGAGTAATCTGGGATGCGTGATACAGAATGATCGTTGTACTCCTGCCTTCCTGCTGATGTTTCTAAAGCGCCTCCAAGGGAAATATCATTACAGTATAAAGGATACTAACAACTCCTTTGTAGGCCTTTTCCTTTTGGACGTTCACTAACAACAAACCAACCTCTAGTGTACTGATTGGCAGTTGTGAGCTAATAACTCGATCGAGATGAGATCACTTTCACTGGGAGTCAGTAGTCCTCAGACGGCTTTTGGGTCACTTCACCATGAGATACAAGTAAGATCTGTCTATGATACGCTCCTCTGATCTCTGCTTACTGGCTTGTGGCTGAGGCTTTGAATGATAGCTCAGGTGGCTGGTTCTTGTGCTAACTTCCTCACATGCATCTTGTACTACCCGTAGGACTATAGTTCAGAGTATCTGCTAGTAACCTTCTGTCATGTATCAAAAGTGGTATTGAACAGTGCAAGGAGTTGAGTATATATATATATTTATATATACACTCAGAAAGTTGCAGTGTTAATCTTTTTCAGGTCAGGATTCATTATCTTTTGCATTGATTTGGGTGCAGGGCCATTTATCATTTTAGTATATAGTAGTTCATTATTATATTCTATACTTGATCAAAATTTAGGTTGGGTAATATTTCATACGTCTTTGCCACTTGTAATTGTGAGGAGCACAAAACCGCATTGAACAGTAGAAGTGTTGATACAGTCATATGGCAGCAGCCACAGCGGCAGCCTTTACAATTATACGGGCGCGCGGATCCCTAGCCACACTCCGACGATAGAGAGACTACACGTTTCCTGCTCGGAGGTACTCGACATAGGTACTGATTGTTTTCACCCATTTGATCATTTACTCACTCCCCTCTTCCTTACTTGCTAGCGAATGATATGGCACTTGTATTTTTTTTCTCTCATTGATTTATATTGAAAAATTTCGAATTGATTCGCAAGCGGGGATCGCGAACATTATTTCATCCCCCTCCCTCCTGTTTCCTAGACGGCAACAATTGGGAGGGTAACAGGGTTTATCAGATGTATCAAGAGCAGAAAGTTCCTACATTTTCATCGCTCCCAGCGGAGCTATCTGGGAGTGATTCTGACATAAGCTGATCTACTACAACCTTGTGGCGTACTCAACGTCGTTTGCGGTTTTAATTTGGGAAAATATACGGAAAGCAAGTTTCAATGGACTCACACAGCTTGCAAGAACATGGAATATATGATATCTGGAAAAATGAATAGCCTCAGATCGAAAAATCGAACCATAATATACCTAGATAAGACATGGTATGACACCCATAACACATAAAGTAGAGGATAGACTGATGAATCAAAAAGATGTCACACTGAAGCTCTGCCAATGGAGGTTGAAGAATTACAATTCCACCTGCGGGGTCAGAAGACGGCTAAGTACCAAACTGTTTGTTTTTCGAATTCCAGCTGAGATCACTACTGCAATACAATTGCTGAAGTTTATGAGAACTGTTCTCAGGAATTATTACCGAATGAACCACCAGGGAGCAGTATTGTGATGGATAATGCATGTTTACGTATTCACCAGTTGGATAAAGTGCAGAGTTCCACCAGCAGAAAGAAGGTTATACAAGACCTCTTGTCTGAACGTGACATATATCTTCATGGGTGTTTGATTGTTGAGTAATTGTTTTGAGGTTTCGAAATGTTACAATATTGAGAAAATAAATTGATCGCGACACTGGGTGATAAAAAATCAAGTACTTAGTATTGGGCAGCGGAATTGCGCATTCAAGTAGACCCCAAAAAAAATACTGCGTAGTTGACATTAACGAGTTATCAGGGTAGATAGCAAATCCGGTGTCGTAGGCAATTGAAAAAAGGAGGTACGAGAAGGGGGGTCAGTCGTCGGTGATTGCCAGTATCGGTAGAATCCCATTTCTGTTATCGATCACTTGAGTGATAACACAAACATGCAATGTGTTTTTTGAAGCTGATTCTCGATAACCATTCCATTAAGTGAATCAAAATCTCATTCATTTCTCAGTGATTTTTTCATTTATTGAAATTATAGAGAAAAAATAATTACATTACGAGAGCTCAATGTTACTCATGAACTTGAAGAGAAAATTTGAATAGCATGTCAAACAATTTAGAATACAAAATATGGTGATCTGAGACGGCCCAGTAAGACTTTCTTCACACTTTCGTAATTTCTTGGATTAGAAGACACACTGGATGTTTCGTCTATATCGAAATATTTTATATCGTTCGTGTCAACTGAAGGCCATTTTATATTCTGCATGGTGGTAACATTCTCAGGTGTTGGATTCCTACAAATGAAAAGAAATGCGTATGTTAACGATATTTTGATGACATATAGAGGCAAGGAACATGACAGTGAACACTAGAAGTGAAACAATCAAGAATTCGAATTGATACTATTCTCGGAGTGTTTCAAGTTAATTGTGGCCCCGTTGATATTTCAATAGGATCACTGCAAAATAATTTGAAATGTTCGTAGCGGCATCCGTATTCTATGTGTATTCAATGTAATGTTAGTATCAACTATTCTGGTAGCTAGCACATTGCATGAATTCGTTCAAATCATAACTTTTCTGGGGTGAGATTTCCTTGACCAAATGTAATGGAAAGATATACCATCGAATTCCACACCAAAAGAGAAATGATTCCATTTGTGAATGATGAAGAAAAAATTTATCGATGCTAGAATGAAGTATGAATTGAAAAAAAAACTATAAGATGATGTGTATGCCTTGAATGCATGTTATTGACGCTCGTGATATCGTATAATGTATAGGTACATCGACTTCATTCCATGAACTTCATTTGGCTATTCAGGCAGTTTGACATAAGTAGTAGGATCACAATATTGTATAATACATTCAATACAGCAGCAATATATTGATCACGTTACTTTCTCACCAGATTCACTTATCTACATTTTATGATGTTTAATTACATATTCATCTAAACATGGATTGGTATTTATTGAAAAAAAAAAATCACAATAACAGTGGTCTTATGCTAATTTCAACAATCGAACAGTGGATTTAAAGCAAAAATCATCGAAATCGACCAAAGATATAAACCACCCAGTTTGGTCGTATATTGAAGAAAATTGTTTGAGCAACAAATATAATTCCACATCGATACTTGCAAGACAGGATTGAATATCACTTCTAATAGCCTCTTGCTGATACTCAACCGTTTAGTAGATTGATCATGAGATCTTCAGCAAGAAACTTGAAAATTCGTTTGGTTGAATCGGAGGAAATTCAGAACACTCACAGAAAAGAAAGTTCATGCAATGTGTCGATCTCCCGAAAGATATGCTCACAACGTTTTATCAAAATATTGAAGGTAGCTTTGATATATTTGTGGAAAATGAATGTGAATATTTTTTTTTTAAGTACCTACGTTCGAAAACGATATGAAAATGTTAACTAAGCAAGTCAATTCATTCTGCAGTAATCTACATCTCTTAGCAACAGAGCCACATCTTCTGAGAACATCTTTTGTAATCTACACACTGTTGAAATATTTTTTCTCCACAAGAAATTTCGAACGGTATTTGATGATACTGTATTTGTTATCCAGTTACTTCACTCTGTATCATCGAGATTTTGATTATGTCAATAACTGTTGTCATCAGTTGTCAGTATTCCTAATTTGTATTCTGCTGATAAAAGCCTAGAATCTAGTTGATGAAGGTATCCTTACAATTTCATTAGCAAAATAAGTGATACACAATCTCTATAGTTGATATTAGTCAATTATGTTGGATCCCCCTGAACGATCGGACTCAGCTTCACTAATCACAAGTTCGCCTTCGATGGATCGACTTCTACGCCCCGAGAGATTTGAAACGTAGCCTAACCTGAAAACATCTGCGAAGGAAAGGACACACTGGCATAATACATCCATGAGTTTCCTCAAGAGGTCTAATGTTTCATTTGTAGACAGGTTGGATCTGCTCATCAACTACATTTCTTCTTCAGTCTATGAATATATAAATGATTGCGAATCATTCGATGATGCAATCATCTCACTCTGTTCAATTCATGTGAAACCCAAAAATGATGTTTTTGCAAGATATACTTTATCTACTCGCCGCCAACAGGCAGGTGAGACGATTGATCAATATTTGCAAGTATTGAAACAATTGAGCAAAGATTGCAACTCCAGGACAGTAAGTGCTGACCAGAATCGAGATGAATTCATCAGAGACGCAATCATCAGCGGGTTAAATTCCTCTCAAATACGACAACGTCTATTGGAAAATTGTACACTCAATTTAGAAGAAGCATTTTCTCAATATAGAGCATTAGAGATGGCTCAATATAAATGCTGCTTTCAACATCAAAGAAGTGAATAGGGATATTTCATCTTCAATCCAGCAATACAAATGTTACTTTTGTGAAAATCAACGACATCCCAGAGAAGTATGTCCTGCGAAGAACTCCATCTGCAACTCCTGTGGCAAAAAGGGTCATTTCGCTAAAGTGTGTAAATCTGTGAACTATACACACAAACTTGCTACTACCGCTACGATATTAGCAGGTATCTCAGCCACATCGACACCTAGTTCCCTATCGAAAGCTATTGTTCGAATTTTTGTGAACAATATTGAAATACATGCTTTGATTGATACAGGAAGCACAGAAAGTTTCTTGAGCGAAAGGTTTGTGGCCACCAACAAATTGATCTTATTACCTGCAGAGGGAAGTGTTGTCATGCTTCCTACGACACTAGCTACAAAAATATTAGGATATTGTATCATGACTCAATTTTTACTGGATCATAAAAAATATGAAAATATCAAACTCTCGGTATTGCCAGAATTATGTATTGATGTTATAATTGGTCAGGATATAATGAATAATCATGACAATGTAAATTTTTCGTTCGGTGGACCTAGGACATCACTGTCCATTTGTAGCTTAGTAGTTGCAAACATAACACCTCCAAATCTATTCTCGAATCTGACCGCAGACTGTGAACCGATATCAAAAGGAGAAACAGAAGAACTTCTATCGGATGGTATAATAGAATATAGTTATTCTCCATGGCGAGCCCAGCCCCTAGTCACAGTCAATGGAACTCATAAAAAGCAAATGGTCATCGATTACTCGCAAACTATCAATAAGTTCACCCTACTTGATGCTTATCCATTACCAAAAATATTGAAGATGTTGAACGAGTAGATGACACAATAACTAGAGAAAATGATGGAGAGAGAATATAGGGTAGTTGAAGAAATGACTCAGCGACCCACTAGAGCAAAGCATCCTCCTAAGTATTTGCAAGACTACGTGCAGTGATAATCAAGGAGAAAAGAATGTGATGATACTGTATTTGTTATCCAGTTACTTCACTCTGTATCATTGAGATTTTGATTATGTCAATAACTGTTGTCAACAGATTGTCAGTATTCCTAATTTGTAAATAAAAGCCTAGAATCTGGTTTATAAAGGTATCCTCACACGGTACGTACTCATATTTCTGACATTTTTGATGAAATCAAATAGGAATTTTTGTATCACCAATTGTTCAGAGTTCGGAAACATCTGACAAGTCAATCGAACAACTCTATGTAGTTGATGCACACATGCGTCACAAATTCATAGTGAATTTCTCATGATGAAGCATTCTACATATCACTATGCCATATCTCACAGAGATATCTATCATGAATTGGTTGAATAGGGGTTCGCCGAACGAATAGACAATGAAGATAAAAAATCTAGTATTTGACTGTGGAGTGAAATGTCCTGTTCGGCGACACTTTCAAGTCAAACGTATCAGGGCGAATGAAAGAAAGTTCAGCCCATATCTTCGTAGTGAATCGACGTATAACTATCGATTACAATATTGTTGGATCCGCGGTGGAAATCATCGAAAAAAGATAATAGACAGAACTAAAAAAAAATTTGGTGCGACCTGCAGACTCAACCTGCTCTGTTCAGCGATATATTTTCATAAACAGAAAACGTCATTTCTGGAATTTTCAACAGTATTATCGTGAAGCGCAGCTAGGATCTAGATGGTTGAATAATTAGTAGATGTTTTACACTTTTGGAAGTTACAGGGAGTGTAGTTTCATGCAAAAACGAGTTATACACATTTATCTGAGATTCAAGATGGTGAAAATTTCATCAGAGAACAAAGTTCTGTAATTCTTTCGGGATATTTGGAGATGTGTTATTTCTCAAATCAGGAAAAAATTGTTCATCTATCAGAAATTCAAGAAATGAAAGGGTTATACTTCAGTCATTCGATTTATCAACTTGTTACAGGGCTTCGTTGAAAGTTCATCATTCAAAAACTATGAGCAATTCATGAAATTGCGACTATTTCCAATTGCTATAAAAATTTACTGTTCAATGAAAGAACTCATGACATTAAACTCAACTGGATTGGAATTATTAAGTTTTTGTGTGAGAAATCAATATCTGCAGAAAAATTTCAGTTCATGATCTGTGATATTAGGAATTATGAATGAATACTCATGCATGCATGAAACCTCTTCTTGTCAGTCGAATTCATCGATCACGGTTATTTCAAGCAATGTCGAAGATAATGTGGATTTCTATTTGAATTGATCAGTGAGTTTGATGAGGAACAATCCTGATTTCATCGGTAACGAACTTGGGAAAAAAATATGTGAACAAGAAGTATACCTACCACAACACCTTGGAGTGTGACAGTGACTAAGGTGTCGGAAATGCGAGAATTGAGGTTTCGAATACATGATATTATCTAGTGATTATGTATCTGAATTTGAAGAAATCAACAATTTCTGGAATTTTGTGAGAACTTGATGCTTATTTTTGAACTTCACATAATGGGAACTAAGCAGGTTGAGGCCCCTCTGTTATCATACAATTTCATTATCAGATCACATAAGCTATCAAATCTGTGAAAATCCTATGGTGATTCAAATTCTCAACTAGAAAGAAAAATTGATGTCACACTATATCTTTCCAATATTATGTTATTTCGAATCGCGTGAAATCGTAATGAGCATGTGAATAATTGATGGAATATTGAAATCTCAAAACTAAAAGAAGACAATATTGGATTGAAAAAGATTCAATTCAGTGTCATTTATATCTACGTGAAGTGTGAATCGTATCAGAGTCAATTTTTAGGAGTAATTCAATCTGACATCACCCAGGTTAGAAATTCCTACATTATCAACCAGGTGAGATCTATGATACCCCATAATTAGAAAGAGAAGAAATGAAAATAATCTTTGTCAGATCTGTACATGGAATGATGGAATCATAAATGTTTTCACTTCAAAACTTCCAATATAACTCTCTTATAATAAGTTCAATTCATGAGATATCATCAAGAACATATATATCACGAAATTCTCACGAACAAAGAAAAACATTATATCTTTGATAAAAACCGTTGAGAGAATCAACTACACACAACTCTGTATTGGAATACACCCCAGTTGCTGATGATCTTGGCTGGGCATTGGCCCAATTTTTCATATAAAGGCAATATGGATCCTTATTGTAACTTTTTCATTGTGTGCATGGAAATAAACGAATAAATGAATATCCTGCCAAGATTCGTGTCACTGGGGTATGCAAAACTAATAATACAAATGTTCAAGTTATCAACTAGAGAAAAATACAGTGAGTTGTATATCTTCATAAAACACGTAAGATTTCTCAGACCACAGAGCTGCTCACTGCACTGTCACTATCTTGGTAGGAGACTCAAAACGGAATTCGTGTCAGAATATCACAGAATGAAGTATTTTGGACAGTTAATTATACCAGTTTTTTTTTGGATTTCCCCTCCCCGTCTCTATGAAATGAAAATATAAATACTATTTTAATATACATGTAGTGAGGTGGAAGCGGATGATTTGCTCCAAAATGTCACTGCGATTAAAGAATTCTCATATCGGAGAACCTAAAAGAAGCATTCACTAGCTTGTCAGTGGTAAAGGTATATAGAATAAAATATCGAATTTGCACTTATCTTTAGACGTTTCGAAAACGGATCTGTTTCCGTTCTCAACATAAAAAATGAATTTTTCTTACGAGCGTGCGCAATGTAGTACTTTTTCGCACACATTTGCGTGTGCAAAGTGGAACTTTTTCGAACTCAGTGCGGATATGGGTATTATTCGCATGGCGTGTACATATAAGTGAAACAAAAAAAAATGTAAGTTGAGATTATTTTATTCTCGTTGATCTGATATAAAGCTCGTAGAAAAAACCTTGTTCCTAGCACGTGCGCAAAGTTTGTCTTTTCGAACGAAAAAACTTATTCGAACTCCACTCCGCGATGTTCGCCTTACTGAATTTTCGTGCGGAAAAGTAACACTTTGCGCACTAGTTAGGAAAATAACTATTTTGTATGGCAAATTCTCATTTGTCTTGACACTTTTCAGTTCTTAGTGACAATTGGTGACGTTGGTAATCAAATGAGTAACAGGATGTTTTGATTATTTGATCTCAAATTAATCTTTTTTATTTCCAGGTTTCAGTAGTGAATACCATCCTCTTTCTATATAAAATGAACAGGAAACAATGCTATTGTCTTCGTTCAGAAGAATGCGAGGCTATTCCTTGATTTTTCTCTTCTGGTTGTTATCTTCTTTTTCAATGATTTGAATATCATTCCACCATGCTATATTTTCTTCAACTCCAGTGAGGATTTGTTCAGCTAGTTTTGATTTGTCGATGTGTCTTCTCTTCATATTATATTAATGTTCCTCTGTCCTTACTGGAAGAGGTCTCTTGGTTTTACCTGTATAAAACTCTCCACAAACAGAAGGTATAGTGTGAATACCATTTCATGATGATTGTTCTCCATCTCTTGGTATTGTTCGAGTTGAAATTGCTCTCATTGTATCTTCAGTTTCGAGCACAGTTTTCACTTGAAACATATCACCAGCACGTCTCATTTTTCAAGATATGTCGTAAATGTATGGTATCATATTCGTCGTTATTGATAATTGATTTTGTTGTGGTGAAAATGAAAATGGTGAATTAGAGATTAATCATTGAAAACATTCTGTACCTCATTTGATAAACAACGTCACCAATTGTCACTGAGAACTGAGAAGTGTCGAGACAAATACAAATTCGCCATAACAAGAATCCATCCTTTATATTGTGAACGGTAGCAGATTCGTTTCCGAAACGTCAAAAGATATGTGAAAATTTGATATTGTTCCTATATACCTCTATTTATCTTCTGGAAACGTTTCTCAATAAAAATTGTCACTGACACGCTAGTGCATTTTTGAGATTTAGGCTTCCTGGTAGAGAAATTCTTTGGACGCAGTGACATTTTGGTGCGGATCTTCTGATTTGTCCTCACTACACGTAAATTGAAAGAGTAGACATATTATCATTTCATAGGGACGAGAAGAGAAAATCTCGAAAAGAAGAATCTGGAATAATAAATGTACCACCTCTCGATTAACCTACAGACTACATACAGTATGTTTTGGAAAGCTTAAGGCAACTCATGAAACGTGCGTGCATCCAGATGAAAAACAGTGAATACAAATTTGTTGGGACATATCAGACCCCACCTGGGTGACGCCAAATCAACGCGAAATATATACTTCGCAAGTTTCACTCAGGACGGACGGATATTTATTGTGTATCCCAATAATCCTCTCATGAAACTCGGAATTCAGATTGTTCCACTACTATGTTTCATGTAACGTATACCATTAGCGGCATAGGCAGAAATGTCAATAACAATGTTCTCTGAATAAGAACTATCGAACTCACTTGTATTTGATGAAATTCCACCACAGCGAGAGCATCTGTTGCCGAATAGTTTTGTCAACTTCGATTCCGTCGAATTGGTCCCAAAGGTAACCTAATTCGGCAGCATGTGCAATACCTACCAAAATAATTCATAAAAATAAAATCAATAATGGAAAAGTATATGATTCTTTATGTGATACTCATACGTTCATCACGTATCACGTTCATTGAACATATTTGATATTCCCATTAGAATTAAACTCTCAGTTCATGAAAATCATGAGAGTTCTTCGTCAAATCAAATCTCTGTATGATCACGAATCATTGAATATGTATTTCAGTGATTATCAAACGTAATCAAATTATCACGACTCTCATTGGAGATTTTCAGTCTGCACTAGTTTCTTCAGGAATGATATCTTGTCAAACAGTTAAAAATTGAATCTTTAGGATATCTACCAGTACCTTATAGTTCTCTGAACATTATAATATATCATGAAGAACAGACAATTCAGAGTCATCAAGATTTTTTTATGATTGATAGAAATGTATCAAGAGAGAGGTAGGCCCGGCAAAACTTTTGCAAGCGTTATAAACAAGAATGTGATTTTTTTGTTCTTCTTTTCGAATTGACTCGGCCGTTACTTGATGAAAATCCATGGCAAATGTTAAACCTTCACGAACGATCAGATTTCTACAAAATTCTTGAACACACAACATGTTTCGCTAACACAGTAGCTTCGTCAGGTGATATACTAGTACAATAAACTAGTTTCGTGGAAATCTCATCGTTTGTGGAGTTCATACACAAGAATGTGATCTTCCCGAATCCTCAGATGAAACTCAAGAGCTCACTACACTGTCCACCACTATTCGCACGTAGCATATCCAGAAGGAGATGAGAACTGAATATGTTGCTTTCATTCTAAGTACCTTACCATGAGAGACACTGACTGCGCAGTCACGGTCTGTTATATTTCTCAATTCTCGTAACGCCCAGAAGAAAATTATGATGCGGTTCACACATTAATCCTATTTCTTAATCACTTGATTATGCAAAACGTTGGTCTTCCATCCTTTTCAGTAGGTGAGTCTATAACTGTTTTCAACTATGTCCAGGATCAAAAATAGAAGTTTTTATCAAATACATTATGAACATGAATACAAAAATATTGTGAACATTTCATAAAATAAATATGCAATTCGTGATATCTATCTGATGAAAATACGAATTCTTCTTCGATCAATCCAACAAAAGATAGTTCTGGGTTATTCTCCTGACTATATGCAATAAAAAAAATCAAATTACAACAATTGACGACACAATGAAGATTAGAAAATGAAAATCTTTTGAAATTGGGAATTTCATTTCACATTCATATAAGAATATAAATGTAGCGGGTGTTTCAAAATTCATTATGAATATTCCCAGGTCTCATTTTTCTGGTCCAAATTATAATGAATTCTTTGAAGAATATGTTGTGTCCACGAACGTCCCGTTACCGATCTACAGAGTTCGAATTTTAAGTCAAGGTTTTGTTGCCTTGGTTTCTTTCAAGTTTTGTTTGAGAACTTCTTATTGAGATCAAAAACCAATTATGGCGTGTGTTTTGTACACATGGTGATAATCAGAAATTTTCATATAATGAAGCAAATTGAAGAAATGTGTTTCTTCTTGATATCGATTGCTCAAAAATAACATGAAATGAAAAGGTAAATCAACAATAAAAGAACACTTTTTTTATTTCAAAATTCATCAGTGGCGCACCTCCTGGAAGTTTATACAGCGAATGATTCGACTCCTCAAAAATATATTCCTGTCAATTCTCACAATAACTTGGAATGTTGTATGATGCAGACCCTGAAACGGAACCAATGTTTCTACAAAAATATGGAATTTTATCAAAACTTTTGCAGACATATCATGTTCGTAGGAGAAAAAGACCTATTTTCATAGGAAAGAAAGAAAGCTCGAAGTCATCTCTACACTTCTCCTTGATGTAATTATTCAAGGCGAAATCTCTTGGACATATGGAAATTCATCTCTAACCCAAGTCCCACAGGTATATTCAAGAAAGAAAACATGTCAGAAAAAAACAAAATTTGTCTAACATGGAGGTGAAACATATTCAAAAGTTTTTGCCAATGCCTATCACCATAATATCCTTGTTGGAATCTGAGAATAGATGAGTTATAATGATCATAACGGTACCAATTTTGATCAGAAGTCAAGTCTCAGGAGGAAGGCTCGAAGAGCCATTGCGAAACACAACTCACAGGAAGCGCTACTATTGAATCAAATAACAATGACATCTAGGATCCGACGAACAGATATGTACAAAATTATTGCTGATAATCAACTAATTGTTTCTAGAGCTCAAAAGAGCCATTGCTCAGTTATCTTGAACAAAGATTATGACGTGAACCAATTCAACCAGTTTTTAGATCATGAGAGTTTTACTGAATCACGCTCAAATCCTCTTCAGAAGTTATTCATAATATGAAGATCTTGTTCAATTCTTGTATTGACAACCTAACTTTTTATCATTCTCATGAATTTACTTTAACCCCTATAAAATCTCCCAATTTCTTGACTCAATGATCTTCCTAGAATACATAAAGAAAGATTCGATCCGACCTGTTACCTCTTTCAAATAACTCTCTTACTCCTTATCTCGATTCTGGGCTCAATTCCTTGATTAGAGGTCTCACTGATCTCAGAGTATTTTGATGTCACTAATCTGTTCCCTCTTGTTTCCTTCAGAAAACAGCATTGCACTCGTTCGCCAATTACTATCGTTTGATGCTATTATCCTCAGAAGAGAACCGCCTCACTAGGGAGACTTCTAAATTAGGCATAGTCTCCATATTTTCCAATTCATTCAATATCTTGAAGAGCTATACTGTTCCACGTCGACATATTGAATGTTTTAGTTGTTCTCTGAAGGTTGAAGGGTGTATGTGGCCTCTATGGGAAATGTTTGCATCATTTTATTGATATATCAAGTCCTGATCGTTTTTTTTATACATACTTGTTTATAAAGATTTGATAACCATTACATTGCATCCCATATTGCACATTGTATAGAAGATAAGCATAGCAAGAAATAATTCTGGAATTATGCAGTTTCCGCATGTTGGCAAACCTAACATTGGCTATTGATGACATAGTATGCCATCATACGACTAGGTGATAGTATACTATGCTATCATAGGACTAGATGGTCCTGTATTGTTCAACGATCTGTTTTTCCAGAAATTGATGGCGGAAAATCAGAACAGACATCAATGGAGTGAAGTGGACATGAACATGGCGAGGAAATTGAGTATTCTATCATAGAAAATCCAAGTATGCCATCGAGGGATATCATTATATCGAGTGCCTATGATGGCTCAGAATATGTTTCCGTTCCAAATAGAAAACCTTCTAAGAACTGACTCCTACGCAATTCTGTTCAATTATATAGTGATGGAAAACTAGAGACTGATGGAAATAATTCACTTGAATATCGATTTATCACTTCAATAGCGAGATTATTCTTAAGGGGTGCCATCATAGATAGTTCTTCCCTATACTCATCATTGTTTGAATATTTGTATATTGCTGGATATAGTTCCTGAACAAAGTTGTTCACAATTCAATAACTTCTACTTCCAAAAAGTATCTGGCCTAACCATAGTTACTTGTCCCTTTTTCTGGAAGATATTTTTCTATACAACTTGGGAAGTCGACTGAACGATTTGATCGTTTATTCACAAAGAAATTCATCATTCATATAGATGTGTTGATGACGTTATGGTTTTATTTGATTGTAGTTCACGAGGAGACAGCCTCTACTTAGATTTCCTGAATACTTTGCACCCTACGAATTGCTTCACTATGGAAGTCGTAATTCATAAGTCACTTCCTGTTTCAGATTCACTGATGAACGTCGATTCAAATTCGATTCACCGCAAACCAAACTCACACAGATAGACTCCAAATCATCCCTATGAATCCAGATGATTTTGATAACGAATTCAACATTATCAAACATAATGATCACAATTATGTGTTTCCTCCTCTTACCATCGATAGAATCCATAACAAATATCTCAACAGATCTACCTATAAAAGTTCAATGTCCTTGGACAATTCTTTGAAAAATTTTGCCCCGATTTCTTGCTTGGGCAGAGTCTCTTTTAACATCGACCACATTTTTCATGAATTTTTAGCTGTAACCAAAATATCATGACATTCAAGACCTCGACTCATGACACGTCGTTCAGGACTCTGGTTTACGTCATTATCTTTCAAATATGTTTTCCGGTGTTCCTTATCCGCTAGGGTTGTATTTAACATGTGTTTGGTCTGTCGCCCTATCGATTTTATCAGTATCTGATCTAATATTGGCGCTTTCTGTCGGAACAATGGTTTCTTGTAAGTTTTTGCTTCGCAATAGCTTGTCAAGCTTTTCAACTGAGACTTGACTCTCGATAATAATAGGTGAGCGTTCTCTCAGAACACGGAAAACCCGTTTATTTTCAGATTTCAACAAGGAAATCATGATGATGGTCGTTGGTACCAAAATTGAAGAGGGTTCTACCTCCATTTCAGTCAAATGTGAGTTTCTCATTGCATTTACTTTCACCTTGTCTCTGCTTGTGGTAACATTTTGACAACTGAAGGTGGAATTCCATAGTTCCAAAACATGTTTCCTTGAATGAACATCATCAAAAAAGTGTGGAGATGACTTTCACCTTCATTCCGTCCCTATGAGAAATTCCACTTTCTTGTGAACGAACATGGAATCCTACAGGAAGTATTAGTGTGATCTGAAAGATGAGCCCCTTGAATCATGATACTGAATATTCATACGTATAACCTCATACGGAATATTGACCAGAACACGACTATAGGTAGCTTTCTTCCTGGCTATCCCTTTCTGAATACATCGAATTGAAAACTATTTTTGCCATTTTTGAATACGATATTATTTTAAAACTGTAATTGGGATGAATTTGATTATAATACTACTAGTGCAAACTCGAAACTTCCTAAAAAAATGTGTTTTTTCAAAAACCGTTGCAAATTTCGTCACGACAAGTTGATAAGTGCTTCATTTCATATTCGAAAAATCTCATTTTTTTTTCTATACACTCAGAGAAATAGTCGATAGTGAATTCAAAACTTTCAGTAGAACATGTGCCAGTCACTACATTCATCAAATGGTACTACAACAAAATTTTATCATACTATACTATGAGTAGTGCTATTATTTGATATGAATTCAACAATTTGATAGTGGTATCATTAGATGAATCTAGTGACTGTCTCCTATCTCAGTTAACGTATCGTATATTTCACTTTCTCGTCTTATTCAGTGTACATGAATCTATAGAATAAGACATCAACCATTTTACCAAGAATCATTATGAATTTCGAATCATGTTATCCTTTCAGGAACGTTGCTTGTTTTCAATAGTTGATGTTGAATATATCACCTGGAAATTGTGGAGATTTGTTGGGCCCAGCTGAAAACTGATACAAATAGACTGGTGCATGTCGTGATGAGAGCTCTGCCTGACGAATGGAAGATCGGATGAAGACTACATCACTTGTGAACTGAAATAGAATTGAATCATTATCGATCAAATTGGAAAGGTCCCAATGGAAATAAATCGTGAAAAAATATAATTTCGTCAATTGGCGAATGCAGTCACGCAAGTCTGATGAACCGTTTGCGGTTATTTCGTTCCTGCGCAATGTATATATTGGGCAAAGAAACCCAAGAAAAATTGAACTGACAAAAATATATTCCCCTTCTGAAAAGGAATTCTCAAAATGTTCGTAAAAAATTGTGCGTACTCAGTGAGGATAAGTGGAGGAGGTAGGTGTCGGAGTTCTCTCAGGAAGTTATGAGTTCTCGAAATGCTTCTATGAGCAGAGAATTCCAAAGCATCGCCGTCCTATATACAAACGAGAGATGAATGATTTCATACGTTTTCGTCGGTAATAGAATTTTATCAGACCTCTCCACAAACATTTCATTACAACTAGAACACACTTACGCGAATCTGAGATTTGTATCGAGTATTTATTGAAATATTTCAATTATATCTGCAAATCGCCAGACAGATTTTGCGATTTTGAATAATTTCTAGACGTGAATGAAGTTTTCAAATTAGTACGAGAAGAAAGTCTCAGGCTCAATCATAGGTGCGACAAAAATAGTAACTCAACAAAATATTTTGTGTGAGAACAATTGTAGCAGAAAAAAATTACCTAGTGTTTCCATATCTTCTTCAGATATTTGGGATTCAATTATTCCCTTGTCATTCATCATGCTGGTGAGTAGGCATGTATTTGCATATATGACTATGTATATCCTTGTTCATAGTGAAAGCGTCGATATGAGAGGGTAATGGGGATCAATACCCACTCCAATGATAATAACAAATGAATAGTGAATATTCGTTGTCTATTCGAATAAGCTCAGTTTCGTTTCTAACGTTGATAATGTTTTATTTTCCAATTTTCATAGAAGATAGAAGTTGATATAATGGTTCTCCTAACAGTTTTAAGAGAGAAACTCTCTTACCTTCTCAAGAAATAATATAGTCAACTACCTTGGTTCGAATTTTGAATCGTTCCAGATGAGTGCTGTAATAATTCGAATAGAAACTGATGAATCGAACGATTTAGATACAGATGATGAATCACAATGGATATAGATTATTCAAACTGTGTTATTTATGGAATAGGCCATACAAGAATATTATTTGTTGAATTGTCCACCACAAAATATATGCAACAAGCAGAATATTCCTTTTCTCTATTTTCAATCAACTCTCGATGGATTCAGAAAATGAAGAACAAACTTTTCTGGAATACTCAGTTGCAAATGCCATTAGATGCTTCATGCTCATCAACATCACACATATGGCTGCGCGTTAAGGTGGGAACAGACCAAGCAAACATTGTTGTGCAACAGTTGAACAACAGGTAGGCAACTGTTGGCTTATTTCCGTGGGGAGAGAACATTTTCAACAAACTGTTGGGCAAGATCGACCAGCCTGCTTTCTCTGGTGGTTGTCCAGTGTTCGTTCAGTCAGGCACCATGCGCGAGGAAGAAGATGTGTATACACTGCAGACGCTGTGTGCGTACTCTGTTGGGCCACTTCACCTTTGAAGTACCGCCTCGAGAGCGAACACCAATCATCAGTTCCGCAACAGCTGCACAAATGTTGTGCAACCATTGCACAACACGTACACACTGCGTAAACTTGTGTGTTTTTCGAGTGTTGTTCCACTGTTGCACAAAAATATTTGTTTGGTCTGTTCCCACCTCTATACCTTTTAAACTTCAATTTCGGAATTGGTGAGTTATATTTCGGAAGAAGTAATCCCGATTTCAGAATTGGTAAGTTCGATTTCAGAAATGGTGAACTCAATTTCAGAATCGGTGAGCTGAATTTCAGAAGAAGTCCATTCAATTTTTGGAATGGTGAATTGTATTTCAGAATTATTGCTAAGTTGAATTTCAGAAGATGAATCCTTTTATATGTTTGAAATGTTTTTAATTGCAAAGGAGAAGATTGTTTACAGTGGATGGAACGGTGTTTGAGAGCCCTATGTTGAATCAGATTGAACATATATGGTACCTTCAAGTCAGAAGTAAAGAGCTTTTTGCAAGAGCATCGTCAAAGGGTCATAGCTATGGATTCGAAAAGATTGCTCAACCAGATAGAATTCAAACTGCGATGTCTTGAAGAATGTGCAGATAATTCAATGAAAATGATAACACTTCAAATGTGTTTGCATTCTTATAATCATGTGCAACGTCACTATCTTCCAGCGATTCAGATGGAAGGCATCTGTGGATCAAATTGTTTGTGAAAAGTTGAATATTTTGAATATAGTTTGTTAATCTCACATGCAATTGGAAACATTTCGAACAAATATAAGGATTGAACCTACCAATTCTGAAATACAACTCACCATTTCTAAAATCAAATGGACTTTTTCTGAAATTCATTTCACCGATTCTGAACTTGAGTTTCCCATTTCTGAAATCGAACTAACCATTTCTGAAATGGAGATTACCTTTTCCGAAATGTAACTTACCGATTCCGAAATTGAAGTTGAAAAGGTGAAGTCTTTCTTGTCGTTCTCATTCGAAAACACTATCAACGTCTGAGAGTTGTTTGCAACCGCAAAATCCATTTCATGATTAGTGGGTTCAATTGAAATAAGTCAATTGATACGTGATTGAAATTCCAGATTGCCAAGAGTGAATTTTTTGAGAATTTTATTGAAATATTCCTCAAGAGGTCTGGTTATACCCTATAGTGAACAAAAACGTGTGACATTTCATTCTCCAGTTTTATCAATACTGATTCGGAAGTTAAAAAAATCAATTGACTGAATATTATTCGTCAAACAAGATGGCGGCGACTGAAGATATTGCGAAAGTTGCTCCCGATAAATCGCAAGAAAATGCTGACGAAAACAATGAATTTCCAAGTGAATCTAACTGCAAGTTGTTCAAGTGTTGTGCCAAGAAATGTCAAGTAGTTATTTGCATAAAGTGTTACTCCTTATTCCACCGGAGTTGTTGTGAGAGAATCAAAAAACTCATTCCACTTGATAACCATAGAGTAATCTGCTGCAGAGCTGAAACCACTCGTGAAACAAGTGCTGATGCTGGAATTCTAAGTGAGAACAAAAATAATCAAGAGGGAAAATTAGAATTGGAAAACAATTTATTGAAAAGACTTATAGCTGAAATGGAGGATAAGAACATCATATTGAAAGAAAATAATTATCTACTTCTACAAAAAATAAAAGGTATGGAACAAGAACAAAAAACGTATGGAATTCGATCAAGAGATAAGGAAAACAAACGAGCCAAAGCACACCAGAATGACCTTGAAGAGCGCGCTTCTGCTTCTGCTTTCGAAAATAATGAATTGTACTCTACAGCGTTGGTCGAAAACGTTGGCAACACTGGCAACCCAACAAAATCCAGGAACACCAACTACATACCAATGCCGAAGCCAATGTCGAAACCACAGAGCTGTGACAGCAATGGTGACACTGACAGCGATGATGCTGACAAAAAGATCCATTTCAAAACGAAACAATAGTTGTCAAAGATATCCCATCAGATGAAGGACGCCTCAAACGCTTCGTGGTAGGAGCCCCACTGGAACACAAAAACATATTATATGAACCCAGCTTCTGGCCTAGCAGAGTTGGCATCAAGAGGTTCAACTTTCAGAAACACCCTAGCTGATATCTTCAAAAATGGAGGGGATTCTTGATGAATATCCAACAAGAGCACACCAACAAAAATGAAAGCACAGGTAAAGTCAGGTTGATGCACCTGAATTTGAGAAGTCTCAAGTGCAAAGTACCAGAACTAGAAGTATTACTAGCTGAACAACATCCAGACATCTTCTGTATGACAGAACATTGGTGCAAAGGAGAGGAAGTAAAGAAAATAAATATACAAGGATACATTCATAACAGCAGCTATTGTCGAAAAGAAAATCGAGGTGGAGGAACAGCCATATATGGCAAAAATGGATTTCAAATTAGTTCACTTACTAGTACAGGAAGTCAAATTGAAAAAGATTTTGAATATACCTCTTCCAAATTTTATATTCATGAATTTGTTTGTATTATATTGTGTCTTTATAGGTCACCAACAGACTGAAGTTCTTGACTTCTACAGCAGCCGTGGCAAGTATTTTAATATGTGGAGACTTCAATATCAATTTCCAACAAAAATATGGTGATACGCTAACACTATTGCAAGTATTTTCTTCTTATTGTCTAAGCCCTCATGTATTTGATGTTACTAGGCAAAACGATGCATCCAGGGGTACACAAATTGATAACATATTCAGTAACTTACCTGAAGGAACATACAATTGTTTTGTATTACGCTCAACAATATCAGATCACTACAGTCAAATATTAGAGCTTGAATATAATGTGGCACCTCATGAAAATATTGGGAAAAAACGTTATTTTACTGAAAGTAACATATTGCAATTCAAACACTCTCTATCTACTGAATCATGGGATGCAGTATATAATACGAAAGAAATAAACTCTGAGTACAAAGCATTTCATCCAATTCTTTTTTATCACTTTGATACAGCTTTTCCTGAGAAGAAATTCAAAATGAAAAATAAGGAATCTAACTCGGTTACAAATGATATCAAAAATTACTCACACTATATCAGTGATTCACATAAGTTATGTATGGAAACAAAATGTGAAGATATACTGATCAAATATAAACAGGAAAGAAAGGCTTACAGAAAATATCTATCAGATTATAAAAAATCATTGAATGATAGTAAAATATCTACATCACATAACAAATCAAAAACAGTATGGAGCATATTCAACAATGCTAAGAACAAAATCATACAAAAAAGTGAATCCATAATCCTTATAGATGACAATAAAGAATGTATTACAAACCAAACAGAAATTGCTGAACTTTTTAGCAATTTTTTCACTCAACCAAAAAACACTCAAAATGCAAAAGACAGCAAAGTTGCTCACAACAGCACCACAATATTCCTGCTCCCAGCTAGTCGAACTGA